AATCCAAACAGATCGCATACGTGCCCTCGGACAAAAAGACCCACTTAATGGAAAAAATAAAGACAGTTAAAGACAACTATCGAAGTTACGTCACTGACGAAATGGCAAAATGATAGGCATCACAGTTGTAAGGTTACATCCTTATCACTGTGAGCTTAACCCCATTGAACTTGTGTGGGCAGATGTGAAAGGGTAAGTTGCACGAAAAAATACAACTTTCAAGTTAACAGATGTTAAAATTTTACTTAACGGTGGTTTAACTCAAATCACGCCAGATAAATGGAAAAATCGTGTTCAGCATGTCCTTAAGGTTGAACAAAAAATGCGTGGCATGAGTGATAGAATTGACCAAACTGCGGATAACTTTATAATTAGTGTTACAGACAGTTCATCTGAATACACATCAAGTGAAGATACGTATAAAATAAAAATAAAGTTCTTATATAATATCGAAAATAAAGTTATCTTTTGAATAAGTACGTACTTATTCGGTGTCGTTATCACTTTTAATCTTTATATGTGTTATAAATTAATGCTTTTTGTTGTTAGATGAATAAAGGACTTTATAACAATAGATGATTTTTCTTCTACAGCGATCTTTTACATAACTTTTTAATAATAGTTAATACATATATATTATATCAATCATTATAATAAAAAAACATTATAAATAAAGAAAGTACTACATATAAAATGTGCCTATATATTGAAGGTTTGTAGCTCCTGGTTAAACGACCGAAAGGTCATTGTCCATTTTTCTCTATCGATTTGGCACATACTATACACAAAATGTTTCAAATAATAATCATGAAACACTTCTTGACAGTTGCAATGTCTGCCACTAAATTTAATACCAAATGGATTGTTAGGTCGTACGGTAATAAGACAACAATATAGCAGATATCTCTTTCTTACAAGTGCTGATATGAAATATGCGTCCTTCTTTTTGTGAATGAAACAAAACATATCATGCCGTCTATTGGATTCTCTGTCTACACCGACAACAGATTGTTGCTCCTGTTTCATTGTTTAAATAATGGTTTGAAGTAGAGTTTGATACGTAGAAGTGATGCGATTTTGTGTATTAAGTGTTTGCGCGTGTGAACCAGAAAAAACAACGAAAGAATTGCTTAAATGTTGATATAAACCTCAAGATGATTGAGAAGATCATTTTGATTGCTTAAGCGCCTTATGAACTTGATCATCAAATGTCTACTGGGTTGAGCTGTCGTTTTTTGTTTGTTTCTTTATAGAAGAGGGGGCAAACGAGCATGCGGCTCACCTGATGTTAAGTGACTACCGCCGCCCATGATCAACCGCAACACCAGGGGAATTGCAAGTGAGTTGCCGGCCCTTTAGAAAGGAGTAAGCTCTTTTCTTGAAGGTCCCCAGGTCGCATCGGTCCGGAAAAATCGCCGGTGGTAAACTATTCCACAGAGACGTCGTACGCGGAAGAAAAGTACTTTTGAAACGTACAGTGGTGGACCGCCAAGCATCCAGATGGTGTGGATGGTATCGGAACGTTTGCCGCGTAGTGGCGGCTGGCATTAATCCGAACAATTCCTCAGAGCACTCCCCATGGTATACGCGAAAGAAAATGCAAAGAGATGCAACATCTCTTCGCAGCACCAGTGAATCGAGCCGATTGGAACGCAGTCGGTCATCGACGATTCGAACCGCTCTGCGCTGGATACGGTCAAGTGGAAGGAGCTGGTACTGGGGAGCCCCAGGCCAGAGATGGGAACAGTATTCCATGTGCGGCCGAACCTGCGCCTTATAAAGTTGCAGGCGGTTTGCTGGCATGAAGTACTGTCCCGCTCTGCTGAGCACGCCAAGCTTTTTAGAGGCCAATTTGGCCTTCTCTTCCAAGTGACCACGAAACTGCACGTCACTCGATATGTCGACGCCGAGGATTCCAATACTGGCTGAGGCAACAAGGTAGGTGCCTTGAAACTAAAGAGATACGACAAAGGGGATCTTTTTAGCGGTTAACGCGCAAACTTGTGTCTTTTGAGGGTTAAACTAGACTATATTTAGTTCAGCAAAGACTCGACTTCAGACACAAGTTTGTCCCGGTACTCGGCGACTTTTCCCGAGAAATGTTGGCACGGCCGGTGTACAGAAAATCACCTGTGCTGTCATCTGCATAGCAATGAATGTTACGGATTTGCAACATATCATTGATATTCAGAAGAAACAGCGTTAGTGATAGCACGCAACCTTGTGGAATACCAGAATTAATAGGCTTGTAATCGGAGCTTGCACCGTCTACAACGATCTTGATGCTCCGATCTGCAAGGAAGCTGGTTATCCAACGGCACAATTTCTCGGGAAGCCCATAGGAAGGGAGCTTCGAAAGAAGCGCTTTGTGCCAAACCCGATCGAAGGCTTTCGCAATGTCCAAACTAACGGCCAATGCCTCCCCCTTGGACCTTACTGCCTCCACCCATCGGTGAGTTAGGTAGACCAAAAGATCACCAGCTGACCGACCACGGCGAAAACCGTATTGGCGATCACTAATCAGCTGGTGATCCTTAAGGTACCTCATGAGCTGGCAGTTTACCATGGACTCCATTGTTTTGGAGAACAAGGAGGTGATGGCGATAGGCCGGTAGTTGGACGGGTCTGAGCGGTCGCCTTTTTTAGGGATCGGGTGGACGAAAGCCGTCTTCCATGATTTCGGAACTACGCCTAGGGAGTAGGAGTACCGGAAAACACGCGTTAAAACCGGTGCCAACTCTGGAGCACACGTCCTCAGCACAATTGGAGGGATTCCGTCAGGCCCACTCGACTTGATGTCCAGGGAGAGGAGTGCTTTGCGCACCGAGCGCTGTTTGAACTGCACTTCCGGCATGGAGCACTCACACCGCGGGATGGTCGGCGGCGTACTTCCCCCCGTCATCGAGAGTCGAGTTGGACGCAAAGAAAGAGCCCAGCAGAGTGTCAAAATCTCCCAAAAACTTCGCTATGGGAAGCCTCAGCATATTATAAAGAAAAATTAATTAAGATCCCGAAATAAAGACACTGCTTAAGGGACAAGAATCCAAGCCAAAAATCTTATTTTAAAAAATGTGCTTTGTGGTTGTTCAGTTCAGTGAGCAGTGACATACGCGTGTTGTAATTCTATAGTTTATGATTGTGTGACATAAACATGTGAATTGAATTTAAAGTATGTTTATTTCGCTTAATTTTTAGCGTGTTACAATACTCAAAGAGATTAAATTGGAGTAAATATCCAAGAAACATAAAAAACTACTTTTATTCAATATTATATATATTTAATAAAAATGGTATGAGTAAAAAGGTTTCACTTATTTGAAATTATTTATCTTTTGATATGAATCGAGCCGATTGGAAAGCACTCGGTCATCGACGATTCGAACCGCTCTGCGCTGGATACGGTCAAGTGGAAGGAGCTGGTACTGGGGAGCCTCAGCCCAGAGATGGGAACAGTATTCCATGTGCGGCCGAACCTGCGCCTTATAAAGTTGCAGGCGGTTTGCTGGCATGAAGTACTGTCCCGCTCTGCTGAGCACGCCAAGCTTTTTAGAGGCCAATTTGGCCTTCTCTTCCAAGTGACCACGAAACTGCACGTCACTCGATATGTCGACGCCGAGGATTCCAATACTGGCTGAGGCAACAAGGTAGGTGCCTTGAAACTATAGAGATACGACAAAGGGGTTCTTTTTAGCGGTTATCGCGGAAAGTTGTGTCTTCTGAGGGTTAAACTGGACTATATTTATCGCCCCCACCGAGACTCGTTCAGCAAAGACTCGACTTCAGACACAAGTTTGTCCCGGTACTCGGCGACGTTTTCCCGAGAAATGTTGGCACGGCCGGTGTACAGAAAATTACCTGTGCTGTCATCTGCATAGCAATGAATGTTACGGGTTTGCAACATATCATTGATATTCAGAAGAAACAGCGTTAGTGATAGCACGCAACCTTGTGGAATACCAGAATTAATAGGCTTGTAATCGGAGCTTGCACCGTCTACAACGATCTTGATGCTCCGATCTGCAAGGAAGCTGGTTATCCAACGGCACAATTTCTCGGGAAGCCCATAGGAAGGGAGCTTCGAAAGAAGCGCTTTGTGCCAAACCCGATCGAAGGCTTTCGCAATGTCCAAACTAACGGCCAATGCCTCCCCCCTTGGACCTTACTGCCTCCACCCATCGGTGAGTTAGGTAGACCAAATGATCACCAGCTGACCGACCACGGCGAAAACCGTATTGGCAATCACTAATCAGCTGGTGATCCTTAAGGTACCTCATGAGCTGGCAGTTTACCATGGACTCCATTGTTTTGGAGAACAAGGAGGTGATGGCGATATGCCGGTAGTTGGACGGGTCTGAGCGGTCGCCTTTTTTAGGGATCGGGTGGACGAAAGCCGTCTTCCATGATTTCGGGACTACGCCTAGGGAGTAGGAGTACCGGAAAAGACGCGTTAAAACCGGTGCCAACTCTGGAGCACACGTCCTCAGCACAATTGGAGGGATTCCGTCAGGCCCACTCGACTTGATGTCCAGGGAGAGGAGTGCTTTGCGAACCGAGCGCTGTTTGAACTGCACTTCCGGCATGGAGCACTCACACCGCGGGTTGGTCGGCGGCGTACTTCCCCCGTCATCGAGAGTCGAGTTGGACGCAAAGAAAGAGCCCAGCAGAGTGTCAAAATCTCCCAAAAACTTCGCTATGGGAAGCCTCAGCATATTATAAAGAAAAATTAATTAAGATCCCGAAATAAAGACACTGCTTTAGGGACAAGAATCCAAGCCAAAAATCTTATTTTAAAAAATGTACTTTGTGGTTGTTCAGTTCAGTGACATACGCGTGTTTCTATAGTTTATGATTGTGTGACATAAACATGTGAATTGAATTTAAAGTATGTTTATTTCGCTTAATTTTTAGCGTGTTACAATACTCAAAGAGATTAAATTGGAGTAAATATCCAAGAAACATAAAAAACTACTTTTATTCAATATTATATATATTTAATAAAAATGGTATGAGTAAAAATGGTTTCACTTATTTGAAATTATTTATCTTTTGATATACATATTATTGTGGTTTTTGAGGTTCCTTTTTATATTCCTTTTACAGGCTAGCTCGATTATTATAGCTGGTTTAGGCATGGCAGCGATTGGTTTCGCTGGTCGCTACATTCTAAAACAACTACCTAATGCCTCTATGAAATTCGCGGAAGCTGTAAAAAACTTGCCAAAATTCGATGCCGAAAGTTTAGCTAATTCAAAATATTATAAGGGTGGATTTGAACCTAAGATGACTAAACGAGAAGCAGCACTTATATTGGGCATCAGTCCTACAGCTAGTAAAGCGAAGGTATATAAACATTTAAAATATTTTTATAAATCACAAATGTGTGACAAAACTTATTGTAGATAACAGGCTACAAATGGAATTAAAATAAAAATATTTTTTTTCATAGGGCACTATTTCATCAACAAATTAGTTGCCGTCCCGAGCCAGCGGGAGGTAATTTTTTTGTCCACTAATTTCGTGATATCCCTGGTAAATGGGTTAACCTGTTAACTGGGGATATCACGTTATTTTGAAATATTATGTCAAATTCAGATCTTTAACATAATATTTTGTTTCAATATAATTTCTGATGAATTTTCATTTTACCTTCTCAGTGGTTAAATGTTTGACCATGGCAAATAGTATACATAAGTGGTTGCACCTTTACAGGTAAGGGCGCATGAGTGGTGATTCTGGCAGGTCACCTCAAACCAGTAAATTCATTAAATTATAATGACCTGTCAGGACTGTCACTCGCAGGCCCATCCTTTTTACATTTGGAATTGCTATAGGCTATGATAAAAAATATAACCATCCAACTGTCCAGTAATAAATGTTGATACTGTGTAAAAATATTGATACTGTTTAAAAATATCGATACAGTGTATATCAATAAATTTTTTCACATGCATATCCCTAAATTGCTAAGAATTGGTTAATGTGTACATTAAATTGTAGTATAGTCTGTTTGCTTAGATAGTGTCGGACACTGGTAACTTTTTTATTTATTGTTTGTTAAATAAATGCTTTCTATTCTAAGAATAAAATAGTTTTCAATATTTTTAATTATGGTAATTGTAATAAAATACAAATATTAAAGATAAACACAAGTTAGGTCACAAAGAACCATTCACTATGGCACCTTGTTTTAAAATGTCAAATTTTCCTGTGGGAGTAAGCCAAAGCAGTACTCTGTTAGCAGGAGAACCAGTGCCTTTGGGGGACAGAATGCCTTTCTGTTGCACCGCTCAAGACTAGTGTGGACTTCTGAGCAAAGCTTATACCGGGTAACTCATTCTAGAGAGTAACTGAATCTGAGGAACAGTCTTGCTGTTGGTCAACCACAGGTAGTTGAGAGCCCAAATAGTACACCAGCCACATGCTGAAGGCTGCACTGCCGATTCGTAAAAATTCCGGAAAAGGCCCACCGTGCCAGTTGGTGACAAGATGGAGGACTGGTAGGCCGTTTCTAGAGGGTCCAGGTGTCCCCGTGGTCTCCAAATGAGTTCCCCACTAGTTAGATAAAGCTCTTGAGTCTTCAGTTGACATATGGAGCGGTGCCTCAATTTGTCAACTACTTTCCCACTAAAAACCATTGTTGTTTTACCTTATTCTCATATGGTTAATCAACTAAAGGTTAAAGTTACTTTAAAGTAAAAAGAGTTATTAGAGTTAGTAGACAAATTAGAGTAAAAATTAAAGTGACTTTCAATAAGTATTGTTATAATCTACATTGAATAAAAAAGTTTTCTGTTTCAACAGTGGCACTTTTTACCATTTAAAGTGCACCTCAAAAACATCAGAGGGTTGCACACTAAACTTGATTCAGTCCACCACCACCTCGAGATAGAAACCACACCAATTCTTCATAACAGAGATGCAGTAATTGCAACTCCGTCTGATGTGGCGTACCTCAACTAATCAGGTTACACACTTGAACATAAGTTCAAATACTGTGCTGGGATTTATGTGTATATCCGTGATGACATTTGTTGTCAGTGTCTTTGTTGCTTTGAAGTTTCAGGGTTTTCAGTGATGTGGCATTTGGTGGACATTGATGAAGAGACAAACCTGTACACCTGTGTCTATCTATCGCACAGTGAAGACAATCAGGCTCATTAAACACCTGACAGAGATGGCAGATAGAGCCCAACAACAGTATTTGTCTGCACTAGGATGTTAACACACAAGGAGTGGTTGTTCTTATACAAGACTAGGAGAGAGGCGCATAAACTTGCTGTATCGCCAGATCTCACTTAGCTGGTTTAAGTAGCAGATGCTGGTACCAGATGTAGCCGGATATACACCCAATTACTTGAACCTTCTGCTGACAACGGACCTAGACAGGCACTTGGTATCAGTCTCAGCTCCACTGGGATCATCCGATCACTAGTGGTGAAAATATGTGTATGTAGATAGTGGACTATTTGTCCATAAGTATATTATGGATATAAAATACGTTTTCTATTTAGCACCTTAAGGCGGCTAAATGGAATAACCATATTGTAATCACACCACTAGCATATCTTAAGTTGGCACTCGACAGCGTAATAAAGTACATAACAGCAAATTATATGCACACCATTATGGGACGTTGACCTGTGATGTAGAGTAGCCCACACGAATATATATATATATATAAAAAATCATCTGTGTGGGCAGACTTCATAATATGCCCTCGAAATATTTAAAATCCCTTAGACATGCAGTTTTCAGCGCCAAGCACGTCGTACAACACAAGTCTGGCAAAACATAAGACTTTAAGCATGTTTATTATTCAAATACATTTAAAAAAAATTGTTTTCTGTCAGTCTATCCAGACTAATCTTGTAATGACTAACACATTGTGATGAAACATTTCAATGCATTTTTTAAATATTGGATAGTTTGTAAAATGTTTTTAATTTTGAAAATGCATGGAATATAAATAAATATTTTTTATTTTATTTTCATATTTTTACTTTGGCGAGTAGGAAAAACATTTCATTGGCATCCTAGTATAAAATAATGTAAATGGATTTGTCGGGTAACTTTATTTGTAGGTATTTTATATATTTTATTTTAATTTCAGCAGATAAGGGATGCTCACAGGCGAGTAATGTTATTAAATCATCCGGACCGTGGGGGTTCGCCATTAATTGCTGCTAAAATCAATGAGGCAAAGGATGTTTTGGAGAGTGGTAAATCATAAAAGACGTGAAATAAAATAAATAGTTAAAAAAATCAAATAATAGATAAGTCTATACAATATTATTTAGTGGATATAGAACAATGTACATACTATGTTAAATAAAACAATTTAATTCAATTTTAATACTCTATTTTGTTACATTTCCCCAAATGTCAATTTAAAAAAATTCACTAACACAGTTGTTCAGAATTTAGTAACACGCAAATATAATGACAAAGCATCTAAGCATATTTACAACTAGAAATTTGCATAATATACCTAGTTACTTTTTTTATAAATATTTTCTTTATATTTTTAGGAAAAAGATAACAATACTACAGTTTGTTTGTATAGTATTTAATTCCTTTTTTAATTTAACATTCCAAAATCTAAAACAACGATTGTCATAATATGTTAAGTTTGGGCATGACATCCTATAAGAGCTATGCTCTTGTCGATGGAGTGGTTGCCACTCGCCAGTCTGTTCTCCCTTGAAAATTGTCGTATCGTAGCAAGAGCCCGTGTCAAAAAGTCAGTGAAATAATAGGTCGTTTTCAAATTTGTTCCAGTACCTCTTTAATTAGTCTTTTTTATATCCCTCAATTCTCCTCCAATGTCACTTCATTTTTGTTATTTTTTTTACAAAACATATTGCTAATTCTAAAAACATTTAAAAAAAATAGATTCATCTTAACATACATTGCGAGTATATACACCACACTTCACATGAGTTGACACAGAAACATAATGACAAAATTGAGGCCTTTGAAATGAATTATTGGGGGAGAATTGAGGTGACCATTTTTTTACCAATTACTGGTAAGCGAAATGTATGTTGTCTTCCCACTACATGGAGTGACAATCTGGTACCAGGTGCAGGAAGTAGATAGTGGCTCTGGACCGGGCTTTGTGCCAATTCATGATAATGTAAAAAAACCTTACAGTATTAAAGAAAACATTGAAAATTAAGCACTTTTGATTAAAACACTTATTAGCGATGAATATAAATATATGTAAACATTATTGTCAAACACTATGTTCCAAATTACATTATTTGATTACAAAACATTTTTAAGTAACCAAATGGGAAATGAGAGAGAATGGGCAAATGTAATGATTTCTTATATTTACGCGAATAGGTACTACACATTAAATTTAAATGTTACTAATTTTACGGATTTTATTGCATTTAATTTTAACTCTCAACGTTTGGGGGGGGGGGGGGGTATTTGACGTAAACTTGTAGTCTTGCAGTGGTTTGCTCGGGTTTGAACAGTGATAGTGTAATTTATAACATACATTAAAACATCACTGGGTTTGAATATAATTTTATAACATCTGATTCCTAATAAGGATGATTCGCCAGGCTAATGAAATTTAAAAGAAATCTACTTTGTATAAACAAGATGGATGAGTGCTATGACATCTGCATGGGATGCTATGATAATTAATTAAAAAAATTTAACTACCCTTGTAATGGTGGTAATCGAAATCTTTGATAGTTTGTATTCTGCCAATACATAGGTATTCCTTACAACTATTTGCAGAAATTAAGTTATAGGGTTTTGTTTGAAAATGTAATGACCTGAAATATAATTATAAAAAGCATATATTTAGTATAGAATTTATTGCTAAAATTCAAAATACAACTTTTCAATTTAAATATCTACTATGAACAGAGTAATGATGCATAGATTGCATTCATTCAGACAGCAGAAGATGTACAGTTTACATTTTGATTATGAATATATCGAAATGCATTTGCAATAAGCTTTTTCATAAAGCGACATAAATTTATTTATGAATTTAATTTTTTTATTATTTTAGATTAAAATGAAGATTAATTAATAAGACCGCTTCAAACTTGATTTGTTTTTATGAAATAAGTTTATTGTCAAAACCAGTCAAACTACTAGATTTCAATTCTGTTATGTCTATAGCTTCCTCTACTGTTCCTTTAGATCAGGATTGAGCCTCTACCTTAATAGGGAGAATTTGCAGACCATATTTGGCATGCAGATAGGTGATTGCAACAATCACACATTCGGCGCTGTTTCCCATCGCTGGTCTGAATATTTTATATCTCATATACGCGAGATATTCTTGCACCAATTAGTGTTATTAAATCAACTTTCTAGAATTTCCCATAGTCAACTATGTAACAAGATGATAACGTATCTTTCAACATTTTTTTATAGGATAGGATGACAAAAGAGCACACAGTCCACCTGATGGTAAGTGGTTGCTGCGGCCCATAGACATCTACATCTATCCTCGATTACAAATCAAAATGCAGATGCGTTGTCACCCGTGAGGATTAAGATGGAATGCCTCGTTTTCAGTAAAAAGGGTCTCCGGTCCTTTGCACTCACCATACGAAACACAGCAGCATTAAGCTACTATTTTACGCTGGTATTCTGTGAGAGCGTGGTCCTTCCCTAGTCGAGCCGACTCATTCATGCTACAATTATACTACTAATATAACTGCAGCATAGCTCTACCACATATAAAACGTATTTTAAATCCAACATAGTTATGATAATGAGATAGCCGTGTAGTGGCAGCATTGGAGAATCCACTACCCACATCATGCGGTGGGCGTCGTAGAGGCGACACAGGATAATAAAACAGAAGATAGGCAGCAGCATCTTCTATGTTGGCAACCCGCCTGCCAAGTATGGCAACTATGGTAAATATCCCCCCTTTGAGGTAATCTATGCAGAAGGGGGAGGGGTATGTTCGTTTGACTTTGATCAGTTATATCATCATCAACAACACACCCTGTGTTGATGATGATGATATAAATATTTCTTTGGTTGTTCGTCTTCTATCCATTACTATACGATTCATCCGATTAAAATGAAGCTTTGGTGAGCATAGCCGGCAAAGCTAGTATTGAATTTAAATAAAATGAATGACGATATATATAATTCAACAATTGTACAATATATACATATACATATTAATTTTCTACAAATATTTAAATTTATTATCGGCTTCATTCCATAATTTATTTACCCAAAAATTCACAAAACATAAACTTTAAAACAAATTTACAATTTTATTCACTTTAAACGTAGGATATTTAATTTATTGAGCAAAATATTAATTAATGATTTCTTATATTTACGCGAACACTACACATTGAAATAATACTAGTTTTTACGGAATTTATCGCGTGTATTTAACTTTTTAATTACCCGACGTTTCGAACGCTTTACAGCACTCATGGTCACGGGCAGGACTGAGATGTTCAACGTCCATATGTCATAGTTAACCGCGGTTACCATAGATTAAAATTTAACTTTTGTTCCGATCTATGCAGTATGAACTTATGGTATCTTGAAGTCTTGCAGTTGTATGCTTGGGTTGGGATTTAATTTTATTTATTATAGGATCCCAAGCAGATGGTAGCACCCAGCCATCTTCTCTATTGAAATTAGGATGTTTTTTGATTTCAATAGCCTCGCGAATCATCCTTGGAAGGAATCGGTGTTCTTTAGCGAGGATCTGCGGTCTATCAAATCTGATGTAGTGACGGGGGCGATCCTGTACGTGTTCACAGACTGCAGACTTCCCGGAGCGTCGATTCTTCACATCAGCTATATGTTCTTTAACGCGGGTTTTTATTGATCTTTTAGTTTGTCCTATGTAGGAGAGACCACATTCACAATCAAGCTTGTACAGTCCTGCATCTTGCAGAGGGACATTACACTTGACCGATGGTAAAAACTGACCAATCTTCTTCAGCGGCTTAAAGTATGTTTTGATGGAAGCGCGCTTCAAGATGTAGCCAATCTTGTCAGTGACTCCTCTAACATATGGCAGTACAGCAGGTACAGCTCGACTGTGTCCGGCTTCACTCATTCACTGTGACGTAGGCGCGGGGCTCGAAGCTTGTTGTCATGCAAAACTTGCTTGACATGGTGGAGCTCTGCAGCCAGGTGTTTACTGTCACAGATCCCTCGTGCTCTCTGAAACAAAGATTTACCCACAGTAGCTAACTGTGAAGGATGGTGGTGAGAATCACCGTTTAAATATCTATCTGTATGGGTCTTTTTTCTATACACAGTATGGCTCAAGGTGTTATCAGGATTCCGAATTACTAACACATCTAGAAAAGCTAAGGAATTGTTTGCCTGTTCTCCATTGTGAATTGAATTTTAGAATATATAGAGTTAAGATGGTCTAATAAAATGCAGTTACTTTATCTAAAGGTAGAATTGTGAAAGTGTCGTCTATGTACCGCTTGTAGAACCTTGGATTTATGGGAGAACTAAGCAGGGCTTTCTCCTCAAAGTCTTCCATGAATATGTCGGCGACAATGGGAGATACAGGTGAGCCCATCGCCACACCATCTACTTGCTTGTAGAACTCCTCCTTCCACAATAGGTAGCCAGATGTAAGGCAGTGTCTGAGTAATACTGCATATTCTACGGGCATGTTTTTTTCTTCCAGCCTTCTAGTTACAATTGAGATGCAGTCTTCAACAGGTAAGCATGTAAACAATGACTGCACATCAAAACTGACCATAGTTTCATTGTCTGCCAGATGTAGGTCTTTAATCTCGCTGACAAAATGGTAGGAATCCTTTATGTGTGCTCTTGTATGTCCCCTGAGTGGTGAGAGTATTTTCGCTAAGTGTTGAGCCAATCTGTAAGTTGGTGAATCGATTTGGCTCACTATGGGACGTAATGGAGCATTGGGCTTGTGTATTTTTGGTAACCCATACAATTTTGGTGATTTGGCGCACGTAGGTATTATCCATTTTACGTCCAGATTTAATTTTTCGGAGTGTTTCTTTTCTTTATGAGGTCACTAGTTGTTTTTAGTGTGCTATTTGTTGGGTCGTTTTTAACCTTTTTATAAGTACTTACATCCGCCTACCATAACCTACAATAACACACTAGCTGATACCCGCTCGCTTCGCTGGGCGTACGATAATTTTTTATTGCGGAACCTAGATGTAAAATATCAAGATTTTTTCTTATAAGACTATCGTAAAATCTGTTCTTAGTGAG